GTGTCTAACCTTTCTAAATCCCTGTTTTCTGGCTAATGAAAAGAAAATAGGATTCCACCGAGTCTCCTATCTACCTACCCCAGGACTTCTGTGAGGATCAAATGAGATGAAGCATGGGAAAATGCTTCGCAAACATTTGATTGCAATGTAAAATGTTTCCACCTGGGTGTTCCTGGACTGAAGAAACTGCAAGGAGACTAGTCACTAGGGAGTAGAAGCAGGCCGTTGCTGGTTGACGACAGTGCCCACAGCGACCATTTGGGGGCTGGCCATGGGATTTCGGCAGTGTTGGCTGAGATTTGGTGGGCTGTTGCTCTGGGATGGTGGCAGTGCCTGTGTCCCACTTGGGGGAAGCCAACTGTTGCTTTTTGGGTGCTGTTTCTCTGTACGCATCATGGCAGCTCTTGCATTGAGCATCTACCCCCTGGTGGTCAGTGTCCATCATAGCGACCAGTTGGAAGGTGGGAAGGACGCTTAGCATATTAGCCTTTTATATAGATAGATTGCCTATATTGTTTAAAATTTTATGTTATAATTTATCAACTTTTTAATCAAAACATTAAAGCCATTTATATGGAGGTCCTTTATAAACTATTGTGCACACTGATGGATAATATCCTTATCATTTTGTTGTTGCTGCAATTTAACTGTGTTGACCACTGCTTAAAATAAGTGGGCCATCCACTAACACTTTGAAATAATTTTACTATGTAGCTATTGTTACATGTGATGGTAGTTCTTCAATGAGATTTAAGTTATATTTCTATAATAATAATCTTTAAACAGTTTTTATTTGTGTGAGTATACATGTGTATTTAACATGAAACCCTTATGCAAATTATGCTAATTTTTAACATATGAAAGTTAAACCTAGATCTTTGAGCCCAGGTCATTGGCAGTTAGAGGGGGACCCTTTGTCTTTCCACCTCCTTCCTCCCCTTTCAAGTCTCCCCACAGTTAAGGGGTTTACAGTAAATTGATGAAATATTATAGTGTTAACTAACACAGTTCAAAATCAACTCTGAACAGCAGAATTTACTAATCTTATTTTAAACCACCCTTACATGCATTTTTTAACAACCTGGATTTCAGAAAGATAAGGATGATGTCTTTAAAACACATAATAGGTTAGGTGAATACTATTTGATTGTCTTCCTTAATTGCTGTTTAAGCCTGTGGTTTCCAAGTATTTATATAGCAGCAAAATATGCTAGAAATTCCAACGTGTTGATCAGTCATGATCCAATCAAGATGCCCATGTGGGGGTGCAGTGGAAGAAAAGCTTGGAGCTTTCCCACTGCTTGGCTCTTCCCTGCCTTCTCTCTGTCCACATGATCCCTAAGGAGATAACTGTAGCAACTCTTACAATTCACAATACCCTGAGTGATCTTTAGCAAAGTATGCAGGCTTGGTGGAGTTCTGGGTGGAAGAACTCTAAGCATGGTCCTGGGGAGGAGGGAAAGATGCCACCACTGTCAAATAAGAAGATAATACCCATCAGCTCAGCTGATCAGTTAGGACTTGGGGATGCAGTTACAGAATTTAGTGACTTGCACACTTGAAAAATTCCTACTCAGATGCCTAGAGTACAGGATTCAGTTCGGGCCACCATTCTGCAGCAAATCATATTTAACCATTGGGTAATTGTGGTAGATTAAAGATGGACACTTTTTTTTAACTTTGCTCCCACTGAGTGGTGGAGGCTCGGACCCTCTCTTTGAGTCTGTGGGTTCTATGACCACCTTGACTTGTAGACTACAGCAGAAGTGACGCTGTACTAGTGTCAGGCATAGACCTTAACTTTCTGCCTCTTGGAACCCTTGGTCTTATAGTCCTTAGTCACGATCTAAGAACCATGACTACCATGTCAGAAAAACCATGGAAAGGCTCTCAGACTATATGAAGACAAGGGGACTCTGCTAAGTCCAGACTTCCAGGCACCCTCATTGAGATGCCAGGCATGTGGGTGAACTTGTCTCAAACACTCCACACCAACTTGGCTACCAGGTGGCCATAATCAATACTATGTGAAATGGAAGGATTTCCCAGCAAGCCTTGCCTAATTTCCTAACCCACAAAATCATACAATATAACAAAATGATTGCTGTTTGAAGCCACTAGGTTCTGCGGCAGTCTTCATGCAAGCGTAGACAACCACACAGTCATGAAGACAACTAAGACTTTAGGGCTTTGACCAAGGGTTTTCATGCATGCTCCTCACTTGATCACCATGGCCAGTCCGCCTAAAACAAGTACTTTGTGAGAACTCCTCTGTGCTGTGGGAGTCTGGCATGCAGAGATGCACAGATGAGGTCCTGGGCTCTCATGATGCTACCTTCCAGAGATGGGAGACAGACAGTGAACAAATAGAGACGTAAACAAGAAAATATCAGCTAGCAGATCATGCAGTGCCGTGACATGAGCAAAACAAAAGCAAACAAAGCAGGATGATATCCTAGACAGCAGGAGCTACTTCGCATGGAGGGTCAGAAAAGTCTGGGCAGATGACATGCAGATGACGCCAAAATGACAAGAAAAAGCCAGAATTGCAAACATCTGGGAAAGGATATTCCACATGGAAGGACTAGTGAGTGCATAAGTCCTATGGCAGGAACAAGCTTCAAATGTCCAATAAGGAGCAGAAAAGGAGGTATGGCTGTGGCAACTGTTAGGAGGTGAGATTAAAGAGATCCATGCAGGTCATAAATGGCCTTGTAGGACCTTGGGAAGAATGTGGGATTTTATTCTGAGTACAATGGAAAACCATTAGGATGCTTCACAGAAAGGCAGGAGGAAGTGATTTACATTTTGAAAAGCCCCTCAGGCTGTTGTGAGGAGAACAAAGGATCCAAGTACAGAAGCAGAAAGATTCCATAGGGCCTGGGGCATTCGTTTTAGTGTGAGAGACTGTGGCTTGGATTAGGGGGGGAGCAGTTAGAGGAAGATAAAGTGGACAGGCATGCAGAAAGCATTTTGGAGAATCAATAGAGCTTGTGATGAATTGGATGCTGAAGGAGTAAGATGCAGCTGTTTTTAAGTCTTAGCTTTTACAGACAAGAAAACTGAAGCCCAGAGCAGTTAAGCAACTTGCCCAAAGTCACACAGCTTGAATGTGTGAAGACAGAATTCAAACCCAGATTATCTGTCTCCAAATTTCTTTTGCTCTTTTCATCACAGTACTGGTCCTCTGTTATTTGGGGTAAATTACCGGGAGTAGCATTATTGAAGAATTGGTCAGCTAGTATCCACAGGGAGAAAGCTTCACTCACAGGTTTTTCCAGGGGCAGAGACGCTGACGCCTTCTCCGTCATCGTAGATGGGAGTCACCGTGACCTTGTATTCGGTATCAGGAAGCAGAGGCTTCAGAAGGAGGTTGTTCTGGCTTCCAGGCACCATGACCTGTGCCGAAAAGCAAAGGGCTGTGTAAGACCTCTGCTCCCACAGGGCCTAATGGAGAAGGACTATAGGCACTTCCAAATGATCAGAAGTGAGATGTGTTTTTAGAGAGTGATGAGAAAAAAAGCATTCATGCAAAAGCATTTCTCTCTGAAATTCCCCTTATAGTAACCCTTAGCTTATAATCTCTGATGCAGACATTTTAAATGTGAAGCTCTTTGGCCCTGAGGAATGGTCTCCTTTCAACATATTTTCAGCATTTGTAAAGTATCCGGAAGGGACAATCATCATCTATTTGGAAAACAGGCCATCATAGCTTTGGAGGGTTCATTCGGTCCTGTCTAATTCTACTTAAGTATCCTCCCGAAATTCAGCCTTCTATTCTCTATTCTTTCAGAGATAATCTAATCTCAGCATTTGGGAAAAGAAGGGGTGCTAGCCAAGAACAACAGAACTACACATTTTATCCAAGTTTTCCAGATCAAAACATATTGACCAGTAACGCTAAAAAAAATGTTGCTAAAAGGAGATGTTTTCCTCATTCTGAAATCATCATCACTCCGTCTCAAAGGCTGTAAAAAATGAAATGCAGCCGTGGGGTCGACACCACACAGGCATTGCTGCACCGTACCATGGGGCTTAGCAGTACAGATTCTGGCATCCCTAGAAGAGACGTGGACCAGAAAAGCCACGTGTTCTCAATGCAAAAACCACAAACGTTTCTGCCTGCACTCCAGCAGTGAGATGCTGACACATCTTGGGCCATTTAAGGAACTTAATCACGGCTGGAAAAATGCTGGAATATAAGAACTGACCCAAACGCGTTTAAGGCAGTCACAAGACCTGGACAGCTGGAGACGCTTTTCGATGCAGATGCCAGTAGGCAAAGGGCTGCGCTGTCCACTTCTGGATGCGAGAAGGAACCTATAAATCATGGAATAAGCCCTAAGAAAGCCTCCAGTTGAACCCAGGAGCAGCTGTTGCTAAGATATTGCTCAGCTCTAAAAACAATGGTTTACATATATATGAAAAAAGGAAATCTGAATTAGACGATTTTATAGTGGATGAATGTGATTTCGCTCCCCATAGGAAAGGAACATTGAAATATACAGGGTTGTATGAGGTGGCCCTGGGAGGGAGGGTTTCTAACAGGAGTTTTGCTTTATTCTAGAAGGAGGTAGATAACTCTGGCATTAAGATAATGCAAAGGAAGAATTGTGGTTGCCCTGGCTTGTATTATTACCCCATCAATGGAGCTTCCTTTAGGCTGTTGCTTTTAAATAGAACTCCTCCGGACCACAGAGCCGGGGTTTTCATGCCAAGGAGTTTGTTTAGCAAACCGCCCATGTTGGTGGTCCTTAAATAAGGTCTTCTCTCAAACTGACAAACACACGCCCTTGGAACTAATCACATTTCCACTGTGTAATCCTGAAAAGCAGTGGGGCCATTTCGGAGGATGCAGCTAGCTTGCCAGCGAGTAGTTGCTGTGGTTTATAATCACAGCCATCATTTTCTCATCAATTATTATGTGCCAGGTGCTACTCTAAGTAGTCTAATATAGTAATTCACTTCATCTTCAGCACAACCCTTTCATTACACTCTTTTTACAGATGGGGAAACTGAGGGCCACACAGCTATTGAGTAAAGGAGCCAGGTTGAAATCCTGGACATGTGGTCTGAGCCTTTAACCACCACCCTCTACTCTGTGCTGCTGGAACCTTTTAACCCTAATGATATTCATGTCAGTTTCCTCTGCCCTTCTGGGGTATGCAAAGTTCCTTCCTTGGCCTCTGCTTGTTTGCACAAAGCAAGGTAAAGATGGGCTCCTACCAAAAACAGATGCTGGAGATCACAGCAGATGCTGGTTTTGTTTATAAAACAATTCTATAAAAGATGCTCACGGTTGAGTGGGATGCAAGTCTAAACCAGCAAACTTCATGTTTTAATTTTTGTCACAAATGCAACTCCACATCTGGCTCCATCATTGCCCAATGCTCTTCAGAGCAGCCTGATTTTTTCCAGGAAGCTGTTCCCTCAGTAGAAAGAGGATTCCCTACATCTCACTGTGCTCCCGTCTTATAATGCTCTCTTTCTGGACAGTGATTCTCATGCTATCCGTGGTGATGGATTAGGTGGTGTTGGTGCTGTTGTTTTAATTCCCAGCCATTGAAGACCAAGATTTTTATGAAATACAATAAAACAAAATTGCTGGATAAATGGCCATGTTCTTGGATGTTTCAGCGATGTCAAATTGCTAGACATGTTTCTAAAGCTTCACCTTCACCTCTGAATTTATCTTGTAGAAGACTGAGCCACACTCTGAGTCTCCCTGCTCTAGAATATTTCTTATAAGTCAGAATTCAGGTCATGGTTATGGATTTTGACACCCAGAAAAGTCTGGAATCCTGATTAACCTTTCACAAATAAAGAATTGTGAGCCTGGCCGGTGTAGCTCAGTGGGTGAGTGTCAACCTATGAAACAGGAGGTCACGGCTCGATTTCCAGTCAGGGCATATACTTGGTTTGCAGGCTCAATCCCCAGTAGGGTGCGCGCAAGAGGCAGCCAATCAGTGATTCTCATCATTGTTGTTTCTATCTCTCTCTCCCCCTCTCCCTTCATCTCTGAAATCAATTTTTAAAAAAAAAGCCGAAACCGGTTTTGCTCAGTGGATAGAGCATCGGTCTGCGGACTGAAAGGTCCCAGGTTCGATTCCGGTCAAGGGCATGTACCTGGGTTGCGGACACGTCCCCAGTAGGGGACGTGCAGGAGGCAGCTGATCGATGCTTCTCTGTCATCGATGTTTCTAACTATCTCTCTCCTTTCCTCTCTGTGGAAAATCAATAAAATATATTTTAAAAAGATGGATAAAAACAAGTAAATTAAAATATCATTTAAAGAAAAAAGGAGAAGAAGAAGTGTGAGACCTCTCTACTCTGACAACAAAACTCAGGGCCATGTCATTGCCACTTTTCCAGATCTCAGAGCAGAGGTGAAAGTCAATCCTTATGAAACTTTTGACAGGCAGCTTTACTTTCTAAGAGTTCAAAAGCATTTTATTGGAAAAATTTGGTAGATTTGATTATGCTTAGGAAATATATAAATACGTCACTTCAACTGGCGAAGTAAATTTAATTCCCTTTGTTTATATACACAGGGTGTCCCCAAAAAATGTATACACACTTAATGGCTGATAGCTCAATTGATGTTTCTTTCTCTTCAGTTAACCCATTGGAATGAATAATTATTCAAAGTGTGTATACATTTTTGGGGACATCCTGTATATACTAAAGCTTGACTTTGGTTTATGATCTTATATATGTACACTGTCCTCCAACATCAATAGTCTATCTTGTCATTTCCTGAAGTAAATGTAATCAGCTTTTATAGTTAGGGAAATTTTAGAAAGATGGTAAGAGGCATTTCTCAATCCACACACATTTCCTTTATCACCTTTGTAACATATTTTAGCCATCTGCCATTCCCTGCCACGTGTCATTATTTTAAGATATTTCTTTGGTGCCCTTGGGTTTTGATAGAAAATTGCAACTGTCTGTCCCACGTTAATTTAAATTTAGATGTACCACTTTCTGTCTCCACTAACAATACATTACATTCACATAGCAGTAACAATTCATAAAACACTGAGATATAAATCCCCAATTAATCCTCAGTTAGGTCCCTGGCAATATGCCTGTAGAGTAAGAGTGTAGAATCCAATTTAATTAGAATTCACTAAGGCGCTTGATATTCAAAGAATTCTAGAATACTTTCTTCTGTACTAGTTTACTGAAAACACTTCTGTGCGGTAAAGAATCACTACCAAATTTATCAATATTTTTCATTTTTATTAAGGGTTTAAGTGGAGCACATGTGCTTTAAGATTTCTGATCTATTTTTTCCCCTTCATTTAGGTTGTCGAAGTGTTTCTAAATAAACAGCGTGGAATGAAAGAAACTAACAAAGGGAAAATTATCTAGGGACAATCCAAAGAAAATATCATCATTATTTTACCTTGCATAGCTTATAAGTGCATGCCGGAGATTAAATTGTTACTCTTTCCAAATTAGCAAGAATGACTGAACAAGAAGCTTGATGTGTTTCTTGGAAAGAGTAGAAACAAAAACAAAACAAAAAAATACTCTCATTCTGGGAATTTTTTATGGGTCTCGTTTTTAGTAACTAAAGTAAAACCCAATGACAATAACAGGGGGAAAGAAAACATCCAAATTATATCTTTAGTTACCATTTCTAAGGACAGGTTTTTTAAAAATTACCAATCGTGGATCATTTGAAATTTATGGCCTGAGTTAATGTATGATTTAACCTGTTTTGTTTAAGTGTTCATTAACTTTCCAAAAGTACTCCCAGACCAGCTTCCTGGACCTTCTGACTATTCACAGTAGATGTGGCTATTCTAGGGTTATCATTGTGTTCTGTAATGATTCCTTTGCCAGCCTGAAATAAAGTACAGTACTTCCCTAATAGAATTTTGGGCTCAGAAAATTTTTTTAGAAAAGCACATGAATAAAAATAATTTTTCATCAAAGGCTCTATAAGTAAGGAAGAGTGAGAAAGGATGATGATGTTATTCTTGAGCAATCATGAATTTGGAGACTTTTTTCCTAGAATGGCTCAAACACAATGCAGTGACAAGAAATGCAAGTAATGAGGCTAAATAAAGCATGTTCCATGATAGAAAAAAAAAAGGGAAACTCCTTTGGATGCAAACTAGGGTTCTCTGGTCTGATAAGACGTATACCTAGGAAACAATTTTCAGGTTCTAGACTAAAAGGAATGATGCAGTATAAATTAAGAAAATATTGGAAGGCCATAATGAAGAATGTACCCAGGTTTCCAATAGAAGACAAACAAACAAATATCGATTTCACAACTTAAAGAAAATGTCACACATAAAAATCTAAATCCCCTAAGGGAGATGCTCATGATTAAGAATAAATTTAAAATGACTGTAAATCTGCTCAAAAATGGGTTGATATCAATGAAAAATGTAACTATTTGTTAATGGATGGCATTTTATTAGGTATTCTTCAACTACATAAAGAAGACCTTTCACGTATCAGACTCCCAACGTCAAAAAAAATATGTGTAAAGTTTATATGTTAAATAAATACATATACAGAGACAAGTGTCTAATGGGCTATTTATGAACCAACTTTGCTTTGGTGCTCTAAGAAGTAGTCAAGGCAGCAGAAGCAACATGAGGAACAAGGCTCAGAGCCTTTATCAATTTGAAGCAGGTTGTATGTGGAGCAAGTTTTGGAAATGAACAGGTCCTCAAGAAATCAGTATTTAAGTTTGGATTAAATGAAAACAGTTTCTGGAGATGATAGAGTCAGGAGAAAGTAGCATAGAGAGCGCTTGCATCCATCTCTGGAGATAGCCTTGTTAGCTCTGTTAGTCAAGAAACCTCAGATTCTAGTCCGCTGTGTTCATACAGACCGTTCCTACCACTTCTTCCGCAGGGTCCCCTTGAGCAGTCAGGTAGGTCACCCTGAATTGCTGCACACTGCTGTCTGAAATGTCCCATGTTACCCGCAGGCTAGAAGTGGTTTCATCATCTATAGCCAGGTTTCTGATTCCTGTCCGGAAAACTGGAATAAACACAACCAAGGATTAAACGAATTTTTACCCATCGTATTCCCAAATGAGCTACAGAGGCCATTTGTGGACATGGCAACAAGTATCATTTCATGTATTGCTCTGACATAGACTCACATGAAGAACAACTTAGCTTTAGTGGCTAATGGGGAGCCATGATATCTGCTGCCAGCAAATAAAAATGGGTTTAAGAGATGCTGACAAGGTGAGACCATTGACACCTCGAAACTCTCAGTTCTGTCTATTCACCAGTAAAAGAAACACTAGAGAAGCCCGGGACTAGGAAACCCAAAGGGGTAGCCCACTGGGGTGATGCTCATGAAATCTCACACTCGTGCTTTGTTGGAGAAGCAGATACGATGGACCAGATATGGTCAGCCTCAGAGAGCGATCCAGCATCCAACATGCATCCCATTCACTTGTCCCATAAGTGCAAATCTCTCACCATGGCTGCCTCTCCCCATTCAGCCCACACAGAGATCGTCCTTTCTTTGACATCTGTCCCAACTCCTTCACCTATATTCTCTGACACATTCCTTCTTATCTGCCAACGTGCCAGCTCCCTTATATGTCTCATTTTTTCTTCTCCTTTTTGTGCTGACTTCCTTGTATGCTGTTCATCTCTACTAATTCTTTCTTTTCTTCATTCATTTCTTCTTTTATTCAATCAACGTGCACGAATCTTTTTCCTTTTGTCAGACTGTTAGGCCTTTGAGATAGATAATGACTAACACTTGACAAAAATAATGAAAGTGTCATAGAGGAGGCAGGAGAGTGACATTTACCAGGCACAACTTGTAGCCATTGGGATTAATGGATAAAGAAAACATGGTATTGTTATATTCAGCCATAGAAAATTATGATGAAATAATATTTTATTATTAATATGAAACAGAGAGAACAGGAGGCAGCAACATCTCACCTTTAGGACTAGGAGTTCTAGGTGACAGGGGGAAACCAGGAGGAGAAGCAGAACACAATCTGGATCATGATATTATGATAAAGAGATTTGGGGGAATGAAGAAAGGATCAATAAAGATTAACTAAAGAATGAATGAATTAGTGAATGAATGAATGGGTAAATAATGGAAAACCCAGAAACCCACAGAAGGGCTTTAGGTAGGGAAATAAATGATATCATTAAACTTGTGTTTTACCTAGTTGACTCTGACAGTTGGAAGGTGAATTATAGTCAAAGGAGAAATTAAGATGAGATAGAAAACAGCTGCTATAGGAAGACCACTAGACCAGCCAGATCTCAGTTATCCACAAATATAGGAAACCATGATATAAATAATTATCAACAGAAAGCAACAGGAGAAGTCACTGAGATCAAGAGGTGGCCAGAGACTCCAGGGCTTGCTATGATAACATCCTCTGAAAAGATTCCATGGAAATCCAAAACAAATATGCAAAAGGTAGAGAGATGTAAGAGTGACAGGAGACTACAGGACCTATTGGTATTTAAGAGTAAGAAGAGCCCTAGCTGGTTTGACTCTGTGGATAGAGTATCGGCCTGCGGACTGAAGAGTCCCGGGTTCTATTCCAGTCAAGGGCATATGCCCAGTGGGGGATGTGCAGGAGGCAGCCAATCAATGATTCTCTCTCATTATTGATGTTTCTCTCTCTCTCCTTCTCCCCTCCTCTCTGAAATCAATAAAAATATTTTTTTAAAAAAAGAAATTCATTAAAATAAAAAGAATTTGAAGAGGCTGAGAGGCATGACATTTGAACTAAATGCCTTGTTCCTAATTATTAATATAAAATAAACAAAACTAAGATAACATAACTTCAGTTTAAATCAAACTTTTCTTTTGGTTAGATAGACTTTGATTTGTTCTTACCTGATGTCACAGGTTTCGTAGGTACTATGGTCGTAGCTGGTTCAGTCCAAACACCGTCAACTAAAAAAACATGTATTTCTTTAAAATTATGTAATGGTAATAACTCTATATATTTGTGTATAGAATTTTATAGTATTCAAAGAAAAGTTCACCTATATTATCTCATTTGCTTCTCATAACAATCTTGGCAGTGGTGGCAAGAGTGAAGAAGTGAGTTGTAAGTAAGGCAGACATTGTATCTATTCCACAGATAAGGAAACTGAAACCCAAAGAAGTTAAAGTTCCCAATCACAGATGCCAGCCTTCATATAATTATTTGACTTACACCTATACAGTTGTGAAACCTCCCAGTTACTTTATAATGAGGCATAGCCATGGTAATTCAAGGAAATTAAACAGTGCTATCCATCAAGTTGTGAAAGGGCTGCCAAACAAGGCCGCACACCTTCTATTTCTTGAATCCATCCTAGGTAACTAGTGGGTGGAACAGCTGTGTGGTGCTCCAACAAGATTCTCTTTCCAGGGTCAAAATACTCATCCACCAGCTTCTGAAATACTGGCTGTGGTGGCTCTGAGCTCTGCGAACTGTCTTGCCTGAGGTCATAGACTGTCAGGGAATGGCCTACCTCCAATAATGAGGATGCAGGGATACAAAGGCCCAGGCCCTTTGAGTCAACTTGGGACAACTCAGAAGGGTTATCCCAGGTCTAGAACTCCTAATAGAATTAGCTGAGGACTCAGTTTTAGCTCTTTCCTGTGCCTTATCCAGCCAGTCTTACTTCCTTACAGACGTATCTCCTAACTACAGTCTTAAATAAACCTTCTGGATACAATTTTGTTTCAGAATCTGATTCCAGGGAACCCAATCAAAGAAAATTTAATATGTGTTTAATACTTCATATTTAAAAAATGAAGGGATGAATGAATCAGCGAGTGTATTTTGTACATGATTCTTGGAACCAAGATCAACTTGGGAAATTCCATAAACTCTTGATGGATATGTTTTCCCTAGGTTTATTTGTTTGCTCATTAGTTCATTTACAAATTATTTCATCCATCCATCCATCCATCCATCCATGCAGCAAGTATTTATTGCAGTTAAAATTTGCCAAGTACTGTGCTAAGTGCTGGGGATATTATAGTGAACAAGATAGACGTAGTCCCAGCTTTATGGTGGTAATAGTCTAAGATGCAAAGGTGCTTTATATATTGGTTTCATTAAAGGTGAAGATACAGGAAGAATTCGGGGAGGCAGGGGGAGATGAGAAATCGAAGCCTCTATGTAGCCCAGGATAAGGCTGATGGGTGGGGAACCTGGTGTAGTGAAAGGGTGTCTGATGGTGGGAGTTGGTGATGTCCATCTTGACCAGACCAAGACTTACGTGTGGTCCCGACAGCAGTCACCACCTCACTCTCACTTCCATCATCCAGTACAGCCAACAGTGAAACTTCATATTCAGTGCCAGGCTCCAGGCCTTTAATAACATGTGAGTCCTGGTCTTCTTTTAGGATGACCTGAAAAACATTTAGTGTGTAGTACACGGTTTTATTTGAATAACAGAGGAGAAAGTTAAGAAAAATAATAAGGAAAAATGTTGCCCCAAGTGTAAGCAAGAAATGACTAAGCTTAAAGAACTCTAGGGACATGGAATTCAGCTTTAAGGTCAAACCAGGGACTTCCTTCCTTTCAGCTCCCTCAGCAAATAAACTAGGAATATTTCAAAGGCAGAATTTTAAAGCTTTATTAAATGTCACTTAGGAAAGCGAAAGAATCTGAAAAGATATAAAATATAAAACTAAAGAGCTAGCAAGAATGCACTTCAAATCATATGATTTGACATTTATAAAACTCTCTGCCGTGCAAAATATTAATTGCTTCTGGGATTCTCAATCTATTTTCAAGGGAAGACCAACTCCAACGCAGCGCTGGGCCTCCACTTCCAGACAAAACGCTTCGGATGAGTTTTCAGTCTGTTCCCCACCACTCACTTCTTCGGTCTTCCCGCCGTAGACTGGGATCCACATCAGCTTGTGCTGCCCTTCCTCCGCCGAGAGGGGGTGCCAGGTCACTCTGAAGCCATCTGTCGTCACCTCGTCAATTTCCAAGTATTGCTGGGCTGGAACTTCCTCTGTGAGCCAAGGAAAGAGATTTTGTGAGGAAACTGAGAAGGTGAGCAAGCCATCGCTCCTGGGGGCCGCAGGAGGAGAAGGCTCCCTGTGAGGGACCCCTTGCTTTAGGGGAAGGGGAGCCCCTCAGCCCAGTGGGGCCTTCCTGCCACCACTCCCAGCATTTTCCCACCGGATGAAACAGGAAGACCTTGGGCACAGCAGACCTGACGAGTTTTCCAGTAATTTCCAGAACTCTTAGGCTCTCTATTTGGCTCTTTTCATTAACCATAAAAAATAAGTGTCGCACTCAATATTTATTTTCCCAGTACTTTGAGGAAATTAACAAAATGGTGCCCTAGGGGTCTGAGAAATGTCCCTTTTCGCTTTATGCACTTTCTTTTTTTTTTTTTAATTGTTTTATTACAGGCTACCTTCAACAGTATTTTGTATCGGCTTCAGGTGTACAGCACAGTGGTTTGACAATCGTATGCTTTAAGTGTTCTCCCCAACCTCCCCCCCACCCATACTTCCAGCATCCACCTGGCACCATAGTCATCCAACATCATCAACTATATTCCCCACGGCTTTATTCCACTTTCATGCCTAACACACTCTCTAGAAATAAGTTAATCCTAGAGAAGAACCGTTATCCTTTTAATCTTTTACATATGGCTGCCATCGGAGGTGACATATAATTTATTAGACCTCCCACTATTTCACTGCTTACACGCTTCTGAGATGTACAATTAAGGACATAACATTC